AGTTTGAGTGCTAACGAAAACGATTGTTTCAAGAATATCAAATGAATTTATAATTTGGTGGCGTGCAGGAACACGTCATTGTAAGAACAAGAGGGGGGAAGGAAGTGATAATAAGCGAAATAGGAATTAGTTACTGATATACGATGACAGAAATATTAGATAAGTTACGAGACATGTATCAGACGAAGATGGTCCAAGCGGAAGGTGATAATCCATGAATGAATACATCCTTGTCAAGTCTCCACTTGAAGCTATCCACTGAGGGGACTATGGTCTCCTCAACTGAAAGAGCAGTCCAAACGAGGGCAACTCCTGGTTAGAAGTGGGAGGATAGCTGACTTGTTGTTTTGTGATGTGTAACTTTTCAAGAGTTGTGTCGAGGTTGGTGATGTTCTGGTAGGATTTTTGTGCTGCAGTGACTTGGCGTAGTTAGTATGTTCTGTGAGATTATCACCACTTCCGATTATCTTATAACTTAGCGGTAGTAATCCTAAGTATTAGAGTCTGACTTCATAATATGTATTCTTTAGCCTCGCCACTCAGCTGGTTACTTGTCTCCGTACTTGATCCAATAGATTAATGTCTTTCTAAAAAGAGGGACTCTAATGTATTCTGCACTTCAAGCTTAGGCTGTGAATAAATATTAAAGTCTGAGAAACAACTTTGAGCTGACTGAGCCATTTTCTTTGCACGAAATAGATAGCTGAATATTTTTTGGTTGTATCCCTGATATAGAGATTGAGCTGATGTCCAAGCTCATTGTGGTTACCAGCCCTAGATCGCCCTCTTAGCAGACATTTACGAGTGCATTCCCACAGCGGACATAAGCTGCTTGCATCCCATAGGAGTAAACGTTCATGATATGATTAGTTGGTAAATCTATGAAAACGAAGGTTTGATTGACAGGAGAACTAAACTATCTATTGATGGTGCACTGGTTTATAATCGTGATTTCACCCAACTCGAATTAAACATAAAATTTTCCCGTACTTCCAGTTTATGTTTGGTGGGTATCACGAACCCCTCAGAACGAAGTGCCACATATGGATAACAACTTTACGTAATATGGAGCAACTAAAACGCCACATGTAGTTTTACAGTAACGAATTTATCTATCTGCCTTGACGAAACATAAAAAATATGAGCAGATTTCCATGTGGTTTGCCAAGAATAAGAAGTAGCTAAACATGATAAATTTCCAACATCTTCCTTTATTGTCTTCCAAAACATTGGTTCGATTTGCACAGTAACTAAGATCATCGGTTACCTAAGGCGTTGCTGCTGAATGGGTGGCCTGCACTCACTTTGTACAACAAAACTCAAACTTTGGTTGCATAACAATTATTTTGATAGGTTTCGAGTGTCAAATCGAGTATGGACTATTTCACTGTTTATAACAGACTTAGGCGACCCATGTCGATAATTGAGTTGGATGGGATTGATGTGACCTCTTAAGTTATATCAGAGTCACATCAGACGGTTAATAAATAACATGTATTCCGCTTCCGCCGTATATATGTATTATGACTATCATGATAACCGTACAACATTTACAACTTCCTTACAGAAGTATATTGATGAGAATAGGTCCAAGGAATCAAATGCTCTCACTGCCGCATGAAGCAATCCATGGTGTATTATTGACTGACGTGTGTTGGTTGTCCTTGTTTCGATAAGAGTGGGTAAGCTGTTCGTTATTCAGTGAGACGACTGGCGTATGATTGATCCAGGGCCCAGTCGTATTTTACTGGCCATACACCACGATTTAAGAACGTCTCCGGCGACACGTGACTCTACAAGGCTGTGCACCACCCACAAATCAGCCATGTGTTGAAACGGCATATTGGATTAGGGGAATACTAGGTGTACAACGAAGTTTTCGTCCCATTTCTACCCTGAGACTTTATAATATTGAAATCGCTCGAATGTATTGAATATTTATCATTAGCAAAAACGTTCTAGTATCTCACTTCTTTTTGAAACACGTGTTGAGTTTTTTTTATCCAGAACAACAATGAGGTTAGGATAAACAACGCGACATTTCGAGGACGAATCATTAGTTTATAGAACCATTCAATTTGATGATAAAAAGAGTGCACACTGACCTAGTAGAATCAAATCTCATTAGTTAGAAATATTTTACAGCCATTAGAATCGACCTTCATAGAATACATTGATTTATCTTAGAAAGAACTATTAATATCATGCATTGGACCGCTAAAACGCTTGCGCGCGTGTCCAATATACTTCAACGTGTTTATTTAAGGGGATGGACGAGTACGAACATTATAACTACGAAGAGGATAAAGTAGCGGGTTCAAAAGGCGGTAAGAACAGAACGAAAAGGGATGTAGAGGAACACCATAAAAAGTCAGAAAACAGAACAAATCGTATCCACATTGACTATCAAGTCAATAATGAGGAAAAACAACGAGAGCAAAATTCTAAACATGGCTCGGAGAATAGTACGTTGCCCTAATACAATTAACTGTTGTATTTCAGAAAAATAACCATATTTGATCGTAATCACATATTCATAATAAAACATTTCTATGCATCTTGCTTGTGAGATGTTCATACTACAGGATTCCTTAGTCTTTTTTCTGTAGCTGCATTCATTTGACAATTATAACTGTTACGGCCTTCGAGTTTTTGGAACAATGAGTATGTGAGAAACGTGCGATCAGTGTTTTGAAGAATATATAAGATTCAGATCAGATTTATGCTTTAGGGACAGAAAGCCTGAGTTAATATTCGCATTGTACATATCTGTGGGTGTCTTATCTCCTTCTAGGTAAGTCAACTATAGTCTGACTAATTCCGGTAGTTGCTTCAGAGATATGATTAATTGGCAATTTACCTTGTATATTACGATGCTTGGCTGTTGCGTCTAAACCCTATTTTTTGGGTTATGACCATTAAAAAAAGAATAAAACAAGTCAAATCAGGACTATTTTTTTAATATCCTGAACACTATCTAGTCAATTTGTGGTAGGATATTGTATAGAGTTGTAACTTTTGAACCTGCTGCCTAGCTAGGTAAGCATCTATGGTATCCATTCCCAGAGTGTTATAAGTTTCTGTGAAAAACCCAGAATTTTCCCAAACATTTTGCAGATTTTCTCAAGAGCTGACGAAATTTCTAGATTTTGTGCCATTTTCTCAAAACAGACAAAGTTTTCCCTAAAAATAGGAAGATTGGATTGAATGGCCCAAAATACACCACTGGGTTGACTCTATTTAATGATGATGCTTAAATCAGTTGCAGTAAAACTGACAGACTTCTCCAGTTGTTACATTGGGTTTTGGAATAGTATTTTTGTCTGAACTTGTAGAATGGGTTCGGTTCAACCACTATTTCTCAGAAAAAAGTATTCCCAACTATACTCACTTAAGTTTCATTGGTATACCTACTCTTATTCTTGAAACTAATTCATAGAAGACTGTACACATAGTAGCTAATCATTAAAATATCCTCCTGGGATCTTAATTGTCACACTTCCTAGAGCAGGTTAGGTGCCGCAGTTACGGTTTTCACACCATTTTATTTGTAGCTATTAGTAATGATACTGTCAAACAGCCATCTTATGAGCTTCATTACAACATACATACGGGGATGTGTTCCGTACATGCCGTGCATAGTGAACTACCCTGCTGCATATTTGTTCCCGACTAGTGTCGAATAGTCCATCCAACAAGACGAGGAATTTGTATCTGAAGTCAAATCACATCACTCACGGCAGAAGTAACTTTCTGAATTTGAGAGGCGTTGTTCATCCAACTACTTCACCGCTAAAGTGCTTCACATACCAAAAGTTTTCATTAGAGATATGATTAACGGGAATCTTGGATAGTTCAGGTGTTTGTCTTGTTAAGACATACCAGGATCTCGGTCAGTATGTACTCTAGTGCGCAAAAACTCAAGGATCAAACAATTCATAGAAAAGCATTTTTGGTGCCGTCTCATCTTTGTCGCCTAATATCGAGTATTTTCATAGATTAGGATAAGCTTTACGTTAACTAAGAGAGATTGTGACTTGTACTTTCGAAGGGTAGTGGATGTACTTTGTGGAACCAAAGTTCTCACTTTGACACCGTCACATCTTGATACGCTCCTGTTGAACTGCGCTCAGTGGCTTAAACTATCAGTTGAACTAGTAGCAATACCTCTGAAGTGACCACAGTACTCGTTAAATTGGACTGTTCGGTTAGTCTCTGTAAAGTGCCGTCTGGGATTTCGTTGAATTGACAAAGTTGCTCTAAGGGCTAGAAAATTTGACAGGAAAACCAGGTAATTGTTTTATCTGACCAGTGTCTTTCAGTAGATATTAATCAAACTCCTGAATCACGAGGCGATATAAGAATCCTCAACTCATCATATCAGACTTCAATTAATGTAATAAGATGAAGATTATGAGGGCTTTGAGGATGTTGCCCAAGTATGCTTAGCATACACCATCATTTCTTCCTAGTAAAGTGGTTCACCCCTATAAGTTCCATTTCAACAAGGAAGTATTCCCAAACGCATCTGCGAATTTTTTATATTTGCGTGGGAGCTAACGATACCAAACAAGGGTGATCTACATTTTGCAGTCTTTAAAGTGTCGTTGTGTTCCTGGGGAACAGAAAACTTATCTCACTCAAATGCTCAGAATACAATGTACTGAATGATTCACTAAGGTAGTTCAACACTATTGACGGTTGAGTTTTAGTAAGTGTTGCGAATCATTATGTAAGGTTCGACTTAGTTCAATCCTCACAGATTCCCGACACTTATTTGTTTAAGTTCATGTGAAGGATGACTCTCTGTAAATTGGCCTGGAAAAAGTAAAAACTATTAATCCCTATATATTGTTCGACATTAAGTCTTTTAAGGTAGCGAATCTCTTAATCGTTAAACAGTTTGACATTTTACTGAAACCCTAATTACGTTTGAATATGAATACGAAACATCAACATCACGCGGCAGCTTCCTTATGCAAAGATATAACTTTAAGATTCTACTAAGAAGGAAAAATTTTAATGTGCATTTACACAAAGAATCATCATGAGATAAAGTGTACAACAAACACTGTTATCAGGCTTCCTAGAGTACATCAGACCAAATTATTTTAGGGTCCAAACACACCAACAAATGCCGGTCTCAGAGGTCGTCCATGTAGTTGGTAACCTACTTTTGTGACCACAGCGACTGTATTCTTTTCCTTTCCAGCCTCCAAGGGAGCTTGAAACACAGCTTCATGAATATTTGGGTCGAAATGTTCGCCAACTTCTGGGGAAATCTGGACTAAGTTATGACGGGAGAAAACCTAATATGTAACAAAAAAGAAATACTTAAATTTAAGCTAAGACATCTGAAAACAAGAAGCTACTATAGCCGCTTTTATTTTGTCTAATGAGCTTTATAAGATGGTTGTGACATATCATTATGAGTTTGGGTTTTAAAACAAATGGTGTAGTTGTAATAAGTTTATTTTGATTCATTGCATTTGTGACAAAGCTCATGGTAAAACGATTACACTTATGAATGAATCTAATTAGCGTTTTTCAATTTTTTTTCTAACATGCTGAAGCTTAGTGGGCAGTAAATATGTAGTACACGTTGCGCCGCAACTTATTTAAACACATACATATTGGTACAAAGAGACACCAGATACATATGCGCCCCCAAATGCCCTGGTACGGCCGAGAGTGAGGGGGAGTCTGCTCTCCCTCTCAAGATGCTCTCATATGGCCACGCGAATATATAGCCTCTGCCAGGGAAGTCCTACTCACTGCCTTCTCGTGACGGCGGTGTTGTTCACAAAAGTGAGAAGACGAAAAGCGAATGTCCGGCGCTTTAACCGGGTTGGTAGACACTGAAGGTCCACCTAGGGGAGTTGGAAAACCCTGATTCCAAACCAATGGTGCACATGGGCTCCAGTATCCTGAAGGAACAAATGGCGTATGAACCAACTGTTGATCACCGGCTACTATGGGACTGCATCTCCTTACGATGCTCCACTGCCTTGTGGATTAGACTTTTAGGTCAAAGGCTCCGGGTGTGGGCCCCTAAGAAAACCACCTGCTTCAGTCTGGGCACCTGGGCAGTATCACAGCCCTCACACAAATCGAATGAGATTTGTGAGGCGCATATTTATCTGGTGCTTCCTTGTACCAATATTTATGTGTTTAAATAAAAATAAATAAGATACATATGCGCCACACAAAACAATGCGAATGAGAAGATGCGTACAAATAATAATAAAATAGTATGAGAAAAAAGAGAAGAGTTAAGAAAGTTATAACCACTCTTCATGAAGAAAGTAAAAGAAGGTTACAGCAGGCTCGCCACTGGCTTCTATTCTTAGCCATATCTGATAACGTCTCTAGCCACTGTGTTGCACCATCTCTAGGACTCCAGCCAGGGAGTCGTGAAGAACCAACAGAAGCTAGTCCTTTGCAGCTTTCCTTCATACCACGGCACCATGTCATACACTGACCACCTCTCTGCTTTTTCCAACCAGTCCCAGAGTCGGCGAATAATGCACGTTGTGGAAGTCTCTGGGACGACATTTGTAGAACATGTCCAAGCCACCGAAGTCGGTGTTTCAAGATGGTGACACCAATTGAATTATCGTCTCTGCGCCCGAACACACGATGTCGAACCTCTGCATTACTAACATGGTGCTGCCACTGGGTGTCAGCAATGATCGAACACGGAGAGGCCAAGTTCCACAAGCATCGAGCAAAACTGCTCTCACAGACGCGTTGTAGACCTGACCTTTTACAGCCAGACTAACATCACGAAGGCGCCAAAGATGGCCCAGATTGGCATAAACCGCTCTGGCTTTCATTATACATGCATCGATCTCATCACTCACGTTACTGCCAGCGCTTATGATGGCAGTCAATCTTTCAGCCACTGAAAAGTAAGGTAGGATTGGCGCAGACCAGGGCATGATCAGACTCCAGATAGGTACTTCAAAAGGAGCGGCAGTCTTGTACACAACCACGTCAGCGGTAGCTGATCGCGATGTGATCAATCTGAGTCAGGGTTTGGGATGCAGAGGGAGGACGCCAGGTGGCACACCGGCGATGACTATGCTAGAAGTTAGTGCTAGCCAGAAACAGGTTGTAGTCTGTGCACAGTTGCGGCAAACGGTCTCCGTTATCTGTCCTGCAACCAACAAGTCCTCATCGGCCACCTAGACGCCCGACCTGTGCATTCAAGTCTCCGGCTAGTACTACAATATCTGTCGAACGCGCTTTCTGGAGAACAGTTAATTGGTGGTAAAGCTCGTCCTTGATTGCATCCGGGCTGCTATCTGTCGGGGCATAGGCGGAGATGACGAAAAGACACCATTCCTCACGCCGGTTTCTTCTCACTTTGATGGAACTTTCTAATTTAATAGGGATCCAATCGATCAGTGCTGTCTCAGCTCTAGTGCTTAGTGCGACATCAACGCCAGCAAGACCAGACGAGGATGCAACAGAGTCCACGGATAAGCGCACGTGAAACAAGCTTTTCGAGGCGACAGATGGAGAGCGAATTTGTAGTACTTCACTAGTCTTGAATATGGGTCTAGGATAGACAACAGACGTCGACATTAAGACTTTCTAAAAACATAGCCAGCCCTATCTGCATTAGTGTGCGAACATTGAAGGAAGCCAGCTTAAACGGCGTACGTGGTTTCAGAAAGACTGCTTCAGTATTCGTAATCGGTGAAAGCATTCACTTTCGACCAGACAGCGACTAGAGATCGTTTAGATAGGACAGAGTTTCCACCATGGACGAGCTGCTGTATAAGTTGAAAAGTAAGGATACATAAATTGGGGATAAAAAGGAGTGAATAAGCGACATGGTAAACAATAATAATAATGTAAATTGTCTGGCAATATAGTAAGCGCGTAAATGGGATTGTCAGTAGAAGTCATCATTTCATTTATTTGTGTCATTTATTTTTGTGAGGGCTGTGATACTGCCCGGGTGCCCAAACCGAAGCAGGTAGTTTCCTTAGGGGGCTACACTCTGAGCCTTTGACCTGAAGGTCTAACCCATAAGTCAGTGGAGCATCGTGAGGAGATGCAGTCCCATGGTAGCCGGTGACTAACAATTGGTTCATACGCCATTTGTTCCTTCAGGATACTGGAGCCCATGCACACCATTGGTTTGGAATCACGGTTTTCCAACTCTTCTAGGTGGACTTTCCGTGTCCACCAACCTGGTTAAAGCGCCGGACATTCGCTTTTCGTCTTCTCACTTTCGTGAACACCGCCGCCACGAGAAGGCAGTGAGTAGAACTTCCGTGGCAGAGGCTATATACGTGTGGTCATGTGAGAGCATTTCGAGGAGAGCGGACTCTCCGGGGAAAATATAATTAAGCGAGCCGATAATAACTAGATTTTACAGAAAACACACAGGAGTAATAACACAACTCGAAATTCATTATTACCAATTGATTTGGAACGTTCAAAGATAGTACTAGGAGTTGACATGATAATAATAAGCGAGGAAGCTTTTGAAACTTGAATATACGAAACTTTCCTACAATGTTATGAAATTCAGATTACAATGGTCATAACCAACCTCCGCAAATACAGTGCATACATTAAATCGGTGAAGTACCACGAGATTTTCTGGTAAACCACTAGCAAGTGTCCATGGTAATCAAGAGAGTATCTGTAAAAGTGGAGAAGTCAAATTTGAATTTGTCAAGTCCTATTCCTCTTTGTTCAAACTTTATGTTAGCCTTCAACTGTCTGTTTATTACAATACGAAGCTCCAAATTGAATTCACTTATGCCCATTGCTCCGCGCCTAGGGGCATAGACCGCCAACCAGGATTCTCCAACCCACTCTGTTCTGGGCAATCATTTCCAGTTGCCACACATCTCATAGATGTTCTTCTCCAGTTCCTGATGCAACGTGTCCTCTGGCTTGCTTCATAAGGCAGTTGGATGGTTTCCACGGTGTATGTCCTATCCACCTCCAACGTATTTCTTCAGCTAAAAATCGGTTTGTTTTCTCGCATATTACGTTGTTGCTGATGATAGTCTCTTGTGTAGACAACTGTCTATAAATAGCTCTACAAGTTTTAGCTCCTTCCAGTCGAACTGTCTTGACGTCCGTATTGAAGATCCCGACTTTCATGTTGGCTGACAATTGTTTGAGTTCCATATTTTCTTCGACTGTGTGAATGCTGCCCTTCTTTACCAATCCTTGCCTTTACGTCTGCATCGATGATGCTGACCAGATACGTGGAAGTTTCCACCTCTTCCAGAGCTCATCCACCAAGTGTGACTTGGTTAGTGCTCTTCATGTTGTATTTCGGGATCTTTGTCTTTTTTTTACGTTGAGGCCTACTGCTGCTACGCTGGCTGTCTTCACTTGCATCTGCAAAGTCCGAGTCGTCTAGTTGCATACCAGCTACCCAGTATTCCTTGCTTTTCCTGAGATGTGGATGTTCCCATAATTTAATCGGCCACCAGAAGAAAAAAGGTGAGAGTAGACAGCCTTGTCTGACAACGGTCTTAACTTGGAATGCATCTGTCAGATGTCCTCCATGGACGACTCTGCAGTGTAGTCCGTCGTGTGAATTCCGTATGATATTGGCGGTCTTATCAGGTACACTATGGTGCTCCAAATGGAAGCAATGGTAAATTCACTATTTTGAAATCCCATCGCCGTTTATATAACTTTGTAGTGTACAGTCTCGTGGCGTTATCTGAATGAGTAGCCGAAAACGTCATCTGGGTTCCTACAAATGTTTTCACCTTAGACTTATAACTGGGGACACATGTATTTGTACACTATACAGTATAGCCATGTGTTTCTCTTGTAACATTCACTCTAGATTACTTAAAACGACTTTGTAGTGTATACAAAGGGAGAGGTTTGGTTCAATATCTACAACAAACAAATAAACTGAACCACACAGAAGTGCCACGTAATTCATAGGAAAATTTCGAAATATAGGGTGTGACCCCAAAAGCTCTTACCTTGAACAATTGGCTTTCTGTCAATACTAATCCATGGTACAAATTAGCGAACGGAGGATTAACTCCATCTTTTAATTGATCTTGAGGAGCTGATTTAGTAGCAGATGTTAAAATATCAGCCACTTCCAGTAAATCTTTGCATAAACTTTGGATACCGAATAATTTTGCCTCATCTATCTGTTTCATCAAACGTTTCCGCATGTTTTCTGACTCGGCGAGTGCCCTTTTATATTTGTCGTCTAAGTTATTATAATTTTCAGTTATTTTCTGCATTTCAGTCTTTAAGGATTCTATTTCTTTATCACTTTCCTTCGGTGTTGACTCCTCAATGGTTTCTGTGCTAAATTTACGATTGAGATGCAATCCAAAGTAGCCTTTTACAACAGAAGTCACAGGGCAACTAGCGTAAAATAATAAACAAAGATGAAGACTTACCGAAACTTTTCCAAGTGTGTTGTATCTAGATGAATACTACGCGAAAATCTAGCGACAATGCTTAGAGCCATAAGCAACTGTTGTAAAAATTAGTTTGCTGTACAGGTAATCAAATATATTTTGTCACAGTAACGAGTTCTATACAAAAGTAAATAAAATAATGCGTTGACGTATCATATAATATACATAATGGCATAAGGTACACTAAGTCCTCTTACAATTATTTAAACACATTGGCAATATGTGAACATGCTTACACACTAGCAATTTATTTATGCAGGTTATGTAAAAACAGACGAGATCAATTATATAAATCCACTTTGTAACCACCGTCTTAATATACATAATTTTGTTTAGTGTGTTCTAGGTACTGCCAAATATTAGCTAAGTCAGAACCAAACAAAAGCGAAAGCTCATCATTTTGTTCTGATGAAATATGCTGTGATCCTGATATTGACAGGTCACATGGAGATAATACTGGGTATCTTCTTAAAGATCAGTGTTTACCATGAAAGAGAATCTTTTGATAAGTAACGGAAAACCTGGAAGCCTGCAGGGTTTCGGTAAATTACATCCTTGATTGTGATTATTCCTTCCAAATTTATGAAGATATTTTCAAAATTCGTGATAGTGGACAAAATATGGACGAGAATTCTCTTCTGATGCCGAAGACAAAGAAAGAATAAACGGGACGCTATAAGGATGGAAACTTGTGGGAAGTGTACAGCAAGGTATGACTTAAGGCCCTTGGATTTTGTGCTTTAAGATGGTCCAAAAATTGATGCTTAAAGATTGTCCCCAGTAATAGTTCATCAATGTACACTAGTAACCGTAATTATCACTACGTTTCCTGTAACAGTCAATTTAGAGAAACTTTGACGATGATGTGTTTAAGACTTCATACTTCGTCTGAGTGAGACCATATCTGAAATATTGTATTCTAGCGGCTAATACATGTCTCATTACTGAAATCGATCTGACGTGTTTACTAAATGCTAGCTTACACGCTCGACTTTTAGCAACAATGCAAGAGAACTAGTGAAACTCCTCAAAACATATAAACTAGACGCCAATTGTCAGACAGCTCCCATTAAAAGTGCTTTTAAATTGTAAGTACTAAGTTAAACACAGAACTTTCCGATCTTTTCCATGAAAACTAGTCTGATCCGAACACCCATAATCTTTCTGCTCGGTCCACGATAACTTATTCCAGACGCTAGTACAGAAATGTACAGAAAGCGCGGTCAGAATAACCTAGACTGCTTGTTTTCCCAGTTGGAAGATCAGAAAGGTATGTTTGAATAATCTGCTCTAACAATGGACGCGTTCAGAAGACCGAGTGTTCGCATAGATAATTGACACTTCTGAATATCATGGAATGGCAGAACATAGGGAGGAATTGCTCTCCTCGAAATGCTCCCACACGGCCACTGCCCAGGAAGTTCTATACACTGGCTTTTCGTGGTGACGGACGAAAAGCGAGTGCTTGTCAGTTAAAATGTGTTGTTGAGCATGAAGGACCCGTCTAGTAGTGGAGTTGGAAAACACTGATTTCAAGACTGTGGTACACATGGCCCCCACGATCCTGAGCGAACAAATGTAAACCAATTTTGGTCACCGGCTACAATGGAACTGCATCTCCTAACTTTGCTCAATTGCCTTATGGGTTAGATTTCTGGATTAAAGGCTCAGGAAGTGACCCACTAGGAAAACCACCTGTTTCAGTTCTGGCACTCGAGAAGCGTTCCAGTCTACACACATTTTGTGGCGCATATTTACTTTGGTGCCTTTTTGTACCTATGCTTGTGTTTAAATAGTAAAATAGATGACCGACCTATTTACTATCTTTGTTGAAGAAGTTAGGTTGTATTCTGAGTCTGTGAAGTTTGACTCTTTAACGCCTAACATCATTGTTCAGTTCTATATGTTACTTTAACATTGTGAAGTAGGTAATATAATATACTCTTTGAGTAAAGAAACAATTTAAATAAAAATGATTCTGAAAAGTTATGGAAAGCCTGGCCAATAACCAAATGAAGTTTATGGAGCGAAATGGAAGCATTAAAGAGAGATAGGATGGCTTCAGGAAAATAGGTTGTGAAGTTTGAATATCTTGATAGTGTAGGATAGCTTGACAAACTGGTGAGATTGGAAAGTTGGTTTATACCGCTTATTGATTTTGACAACGCACTTGACATCATGTCACCAAGTTTCCTGACTACTAGGGTAATGGTGTGGGTCTTAATGACCACTCCTATCCTGGATGTGAAGGAATTTTTATACAAAGGTCGAGTGTGCCCAAGCTTTAGTGTCGATATCCAGTGTACAGCATGAAGCCATCCTAGGTTATAACCTTTTCCGCATATTAATCAGTGATAATTCATTACTTAGTTCGCTGGTACACCATTACGCGCAAAATTGTAAACAAGCGTCAGATGCGAGGACCCCGGGAGAGCTGTAAGATTCGAGGTTACTGTTGTGAACAAAAGCAAGTGGTTTAACATTTAAACAGCAAGTGTCAGGCCTTGCTCTTTCGAAACTTGAAGAGAAACAAGCTCAACGTTCCTTCCGAAATCACAGCTTATTTTTTAAGAAAAACGGAGGCAGCGCAAACTGGTTTGAAGTGTCTGTAAAATATTTTTACATCCTTTACTCTTTTTTGTTAGAGTATCATGTAAGTACATAAGGATTAGTCTATTTGGAACACTATGAAAATCACTTCCAATTTTTATCTTTTCATACTTCTGCGACTGAATTTCTGGATAATTTTCTAACCGAGATTCTGCCTAGTGACATGACAAACAGTTATACTAAACCTGATGTGCTAGTACAAATTTACCTGCTCTTAAACTATGGCAACCTCTAACTGTCAGACTCTTTAGGACTAAAACAACCAAGTAACTAAACAAATCTTACGGACGGACCAAGGTCTCTAACGATTGCTCAAAGTTAAGGAGGGATAGGAGAGAAGTAGGTCAACTTAAACCAGCTCCTCGTGATAACAACAGAAATTGCTACTAATGAAAAATTTTGTAGTAATAACATTGAGACTACAAACCCTATGAAAAGCAATGTTATATTAATTTCGTTGTTTGGAAACGAAGTTACTGAATAAATTTAAGAGATCCACTAGTGACTAGCCACTAGTTATTTTTGTGTGAATAACTGAGTGTAATGCTACAATGTTATGAACTATCGTTTAGCTTTATAGTCTCAGTTGTTGACACGTAAACACTCAGTAGTTTGCATTTAGTATACTAAAACTCATAAGTATGGTTTCTGATAGCATCATTCACATGCGTTAACCCACTTGGATTTCCTTGGCGTTCAGCTATAACTTTTAGCCTTCGGTAGATTTATGAATGGTTTAAAGTCACGCATAGTGTTGAGTAGGCGAGGGCACCTGACAGCAATAGTGAAATTAAGACGATTTGATAAGCAAGATCAGAAGATAACAGAGCAAGGTTACAAACCCGTTACAACGCAACAGTTTAATAATAGCGGTAATCAGCTCTCAACTGGCCTTCAAATTCACATTATTGTTTTCAGCCCAAGTGCGGTCATTCGTTTTGTAACATTAAGGTTGTTGGACAAAATATGACAACATGGCCATGCAGTTGTCATATTAGTATTTCCATGAGAAAGAGGAGTAAAGGAAGAGGTTCAGATAAATATATGTATAAATAAATGATCGGAGCTGCGAAAATGATAGCAATATAAGGACACGATTATAAGAAGGGGTAAAAAGTGCTTGAGAGGTTGCTGTGTGTGATTAATTCTTGCTACATTAATTCATTCACCATCTTAATTTGCAGGTTGAAGTTCAGGCACATAGAAAGACTGCTGTTTTTATTCACTACGCTGAAGAATCAACGATATTTAGGCGGTTTCCGATAACTAGGTCTCTTAATGAAGTCTATTAATTGTCTAATGGATAGTTCAGGAATCAGTGATTCCTGGATTGGTGTATCTGCTTTCAGGTTACGTTAGTTTGTTGGGATGATTTAGTATGCTTAGTATGTTATAACACTTTGTTATGCTGATCATCATTTTTTCTTCTGTGAAGCGAGAACACATTCGTCACGAAAAGGTAGGTATCGCATTGTTTCTCCTCCATTTAGGTAGTTTCGTACTCGGAAGACTATCTCACTTTTTACTGTTGAATCCTTAGATGTGAAGACTAGCCTAGTTAAAAAATATCCTGTCATTTTCTGATCAACTGAGGTTGTTGTCCGAATTGCAAGCAGAATAACTCAAGATTCGTGATAAAGACATACAACAACAAAAACGGTGATTTACATTACCGCCAACCTGATATCGAAGTACAAAAAACCTTGTGAAGGCTCTTTACTCGAACACTACAAGTCAAGTCAGAGCTTATGGCCACCTGTCATATGATCTAGCAACCTCAAGTGGTGTCCGGCTGGACTGTCCACTATCTCCATTTTTGTTCAACTACATCATAGGCCTACTGCTAGAAATAACGCACTCGTCGACAGAATTTTCGGGCGTTTTCTCCTACTAGGAGGTCGACTTGTCGAGTTAGAATACGCAGATGATATAATCCCGTTTGGTGAAGACGCTGGTAAGATGTAGAGTCTTTTGGTAGCGCTGAGTAACAATGCCAAGATGTTTGAGATACGTTTATCCTCCTTCAAACGCAAATTGTCGCTGCAGAACTGGCCTGTGCCAACACCTGAACTAAGGATAGGGAGTGAATTAGTCGAGCACGTTGACAACTTCATTTATCTTGGAAGTGTCTGATCAATCACGATGGTATTGTTGTCTGACGAAATCTCTACACAGACTCATAAAGCTCGTTTGGCTTTTCACAAATTACGTCACCCGTGGTGAGGGCCAGATATCCGTCTACCAATTAAGGGACGAGTGTACTACATAGCAGTTCGTTCTGTTCTACTTTACGATTGCGAAACATGGCCATTAAGAGCAGAAAATACTCGTAAGTTACTAGTATTTGATCACAGATGCCTTAGAAATATTGCTCTCATCTGATGAGATCACCGGCTAAGTAATAGTGAGGTTAGACCAAGGGTATTAGGGAATGATGATAAATCAGTTGATGAGGTTGCGAATCTTCATCGACTGTGATGGTTGGGCCACGTGTTACGTATGCCTGAACACCGATTACCACGACGCTCTATGCTGACTAGCATTGGCAATGGTTGGAAGAGAATTAGGGTCGGCCAAACCAAAACGTGGCATCAGAGCATGAATTTACCATCTCCTAGTCTGAGCCATGTTGGTAGATGCAGACTACTTGTTTGGGGTCCGTGTGACTAGCGTAATCAATGGTTGGAGACTGGGTGACATGGCTCAGAATCAATCACAATGGCGTAGGTGTATACATTCTTTGTCTTCCTTCGAACCGTGGTATTAAAATTGCTTTATATCTTTCTACCAACCAATTCTTTCTTCCTGTACTATATCTTTATATACAATCCTTCTTTTATATAGTACTACCATTGAAGTAACTACTATAAATTCGTTGTTCATCTTATTGTGAGTGGAAACTTGAACCGATGCATATTAGTGCCTGGTCATACGTTGCAGATGACCGAGTGATTGATGATTCGCCATCAACAATTATTGTCATTTGAGGTTCCGTTATAACTTTTGACCGCCTGGATGTCCTGTTAATGTATAATGTGATGATACCGCCAATTAGAGAGCAGTGAATTATCGATCGGATCAGTGACACACGAGACCCGTACGAGCAGTCTAAAGTACTTGTCGGTCATGCTTTCTGCCTAGCCCAGCCAGTCTATTCCAGGACACCAATTACAGGCTCTGTGGTGTCAATCATTATATTTCAAGCATACTAGGTTTATATGCCAAACAGACAGGCCGCATCGTACCATAAAATAGAATATAATATTTGTACAAGATTTAGCCAAATGTGGCTATGAATAGGGGAGATAGTAAACGATAGACGGGGCATAATTCAAGAATGGTAAATCATAAAACAATAGTTCATAAGTCAAAGTAAAGCTCATAATAATGGCAACATGAATATGGATAGTTCCCGTTATTTAGCAATTATACGACATAAAATATTTGCATAGTATTGGCTCATAAATGGATCCCAAAGTTACCATTCTCTATTGTTATCGGGGCATAACACTCCCTTTATGAAAGATCAGGAGTTTATATTCAGATCCTAATTTTCCCGAATTTATCCCCTTCCCGACGAAATAGCTTTGGATCGTATTATTCCGAAGCTGCATTTAATGTGACTTTATTTACAACATATTTCCCGCATTCAATAGAGAATCTGTTAGAACTGAATGGATGGTGAGGATTACCATTATTACCACTCACTATTGTTACCGGAACATAACAGGTTCACATTTGCTAATAAGTAATAGGCACTGGAGCTCTACGGACCCTGGGTTCTGAGTTTCGAATCGTCTCAGCCCAAACCTATTCTTAATATGGCGCTAAACAAGTTGCTATTATCCTGAATTTTCCTGCCACTACCAGTTTTGGATCACGGTGTACTGAATTTATGAGCACTTGGGACCTTGAAAACGATCCTTCGTTTTGATCAAAGGTCAACGTTAAATGCCCTTCAAATCATTGTTAATGGAGTATGAGTACCCGACCAGATTGAATGCTGTCAGCTTACTTCTTACTTAATTTGGCTGGTACAGTAAATTGGGCGTACCTTGAAGTTAACGCGTTCTGACAACGTAAATAATATTATAAGAAACTTCAACTAAGGTGAAACCTATAATAGTTTCTCTCTATTAAGTCGACAAATAGTAAAGCACTGGAGGTGGCACAGTATGCATTTGAAAAACACTTTTCGTACCCGGTGCTAAACTATGTCGACAAACTAGTTGACTCTGAAGATACCACCAGTATTGTAGTTTGTCAACTATTAACCAGTAACATCTTCTATATTCGAATCGTCCCCCAACCAGTTAAAATCAGAAGCGAAAAGATTGGAAAGATATATTTGATGCTTTATCAATATATCGAGGAGCGGTTGGTTTATTCTGGCTAGTGGTCATAGGAGATGTTTACCACGCTGTGCTGTAACGTGATCTGGTACGGATGCATGACCGAGCTAAACGAGTACACTAAAACTAATGTGGTCAGCATCCAATGTCGAACACATAAAAAGCTATTGATTTTGGGGAATTATTTACAACTACAACTCATTAGGGCGTCAGGTTACCTAGAGATATGTTAGAAATCTCGGTACAATAAGATTTTGAAAGCGATATACGTGGTCCATAGCACAACGTTTTGCTAGGATTAAAAGTGATAGATGTTCTAGCTCAATTTCAACGCTTTTTTGACTGTTGAGAGCGATTACATAGGAGTTTCTCAGGGAGACATTGAGGTCACATATTGCTAAGGTACCACTACCAATCGCTTAACGCATTTAGGAAGACACAGGGAAAGCAGTGTTATGGAGCTTACAAAATTTTCAGGGTAGCGGGAAATTGGTAAGTCGCCGTGTATTTAAACAAGTAAAATACCTTTGTCCTTAATTATTTTTGAGTGCTGTTATACACTGACTCATAAATAGCAAGACGAGTGAGAATAATACATGAACCAGTTCTCAATCCATGTTAACGAGAGCAAATAAAGAGTACGAACTACATGAGTTAATTCTTGTACCTTTTATTTGAATCTGGACTGTTTTAGATCAGTGTTCTTCATTCACTGTCAAAGCTGTTCAGTGAATTCTGGGACTGCACAAACACTTATTCTAACATAATATCTTACCGCAATAATAAGTTATTTATTCATTAATTTATTTTATTTTTATCACTCATTTTGCTATACATACATAGTTGTTTATTCTTGTTCTGTGTTCATAAACACGCTTATTAAGCTATTTATGTATTTCGCGTCTCCTTTATTTCCATTTCTTTAGTTTCTCCCTTTCCTTCAAAATCAATTCAAAATTCTTGTCGAGTACACAGAACCTGGTTTATTATTACTGTTCTATCATTAATATTTTATTTTCCTTTTCTCTCCTTTCTCAAACATGGCAAATGTAATGCTAACATTATTGAAACTTGTGTATTATTGCATTTTTGAGGAAACTCGAAATGGTTTCTTCACAACACTTATGTATCCATAATATGTTTGTGAATAATAATAATAATATTATTATTATTGCACAGTCATTCAGGACTCAGACAGAAACTGAAATCTTCATGAGCTAAATACAAATCGCAAATAAGCAGAGACAGATGGCGGATAACAGTGAAATTCGGAACGCGCATTTTGTCTGATTTGTTGCTCGTCAGTTGGATGTGCCTGCATTCGGGAGTTGATGTTCTCTTCAAACGCCATAGTGTTAACCACTTACCTCCTGGGAATATTCAAATAACTATTGTAAAAGTGAGAGGAAGCGAAAATGTTTCATCATTACAAATATTCGAAAATTATGGGAGATGTGTGATAAAGATAAATGCGGTTGGAATAACAAGATAATAATCTCCAGTTTAGGCGTTTCACATCAATAAACTCAAGCGTTCCAGAGAATACAAAAGGGAATGATGAACCGTAAAAGTAAGACATGTAAAGTAAGACATTGTATTAAAAAAATTATACCACTCAGCAAGAAGGTAACGGACTAAGTGACCAAGATCAAAGCTCCATAAGAAATAGTAGAAATCGATCGGATAAGTTTGTTGGATTCACTTCTAAGTCCATATCATTAGGCAAAATTATTGGTTGAAAGCCTGATTCTCTGATTTTTTGTGGTATCTGAAGGGATGAAAGCTCATTGAAATAAAAGTTAAACAGTTAACAGTAAGCTTGGAAATAACGTTATAATGTGATGATTTGAAGCATTTGAATTATAGCACAAACTAGTAATCCCACAGACAACGCAATTTAACCAAGAAGTACTAGATGAACACGAACGAATGTATTGTATTTGGAATTCGAAATCAAGTAGTCATCAAGTACAAAGGAATCATTAGCTCATATAAACACCACGCATATACACTGTGTTATTTACTTTAAGGTAGAAGCATTTTCGTGGTAGTGATCTTACGTGTAGAAAGAACTGTAGTGTACTCTACAAAGTACCTGTATAAAGTTCTTTAGGCCCTCGACAAAGGGAACCGTGACGTTTTGAAAGTTGAACGATGATTGATATCATTGGTGTCGTGTAAACAGACGTACATCACACTGGCAAACAGGACGTTCCTAAAAACTGGGAATGAGAGCCCGGGACAGAGTTCGATGCAGAATGCTGGTGGATGGCTATGCTCCTCCATGAGGGGTGACAGGTGTAAGTAAGTAACTATTTAAGCACTTCAGCCTCATAATACCTCAATAAACCCAACATAGATTATGTTATTGAACGGAACATTTACTTTAGTATTTATGCTAATGAACTCAAAACACTGCACTGAACTGTATATTAAAGAAATAAATTTTTGATCATATTATCTCTAATCTAACAACAAGTGACGATGAAGAAATCCCTCTCTCGAATTCGGAATTTCCAGAACTTAGCATCACCTTATAGTCACATGATCATCAGAAAATGGTTTTCAGATGCTGAAATATTTTTTTATTAGTATTTTGTGCCACAGCCAAGTCATCAAGTTATATGAGATCAGTAAAGTGTTGGAACTTTTAGGCCACACTTTTTCTTAGTTCATTAAGCGTTTGTAAGAATTTAGATCGACCAAAACGACTCGTAACCTTTGTTTTCGTGAAATCCCTCATTTCATATGAATATGACAATGTTCTATAATCAAGTCCATCATCATAAAAACATTAGATTTTTCCACTAGAATAATGAGTCGTGTATGCTTGGGATAGGTCACCAATCAGCCATCGTTCGGTTGCTTAGTGTCCCGCAATCAATTTGTAGTCTTGTTTTTCAGAAACTTTTTTTAAGACTATGGCTATCGGAAATCATTCTGAAGTTCCGGGTGAATTTATGATACAAAGCTTTGTAAGTTCGTCAATCCATATGAACATTTGTAATCGTTTGGAGTCTTGTCGACAGTGATAGGACCTAAGTAGTGATCTGTCAGTCCATATCACTTAGTATCCACTGAAAGTTGACGAAGTTAATGAACTTTCATGATAAATATTTTAAAAAAGTGTGTTGGTTCTCATGAGACCCTGGGAAAATGAGAACCGATAGTTGAAATGTTATATCATAGCGCAGATTAAATTATGCGTAACTTCTTAGAGCGATTAATGGACTGATGCTATACATATATTCTTACTGTATAACTATTCGGTAACTAGATTATGTATATTCATATTTCTCTCACTATAAGCTTTATTTTGACCTATAGACTATTATTATACGATCTGCAGTTTTTAAGTTATGCCCAGTTTATTAATTACAGTCTTCAACAATCACAGTCATTTTTTGGCTTGATCATGTACAAATACTATTTTTTACTTTATGGTATGATGTGGTCTGGCTGGCTTTTGTATATATCAGGTATGCTTGAAATAAATTATTCGCATAGTGGTAGCTGATATTGGTGTTCTAGACTCAACAGCAGGGCTAAGCAGGTAAAAAGACCTAAAAGGACGCTAGGCTGCTCATAAAGGTCAATACGTCATTGGTTTGGCAGAGCGCTAAGACAGTATAAGTCATATTTTGATTGATAAGTAAACCGAGTTATATTTAATCGGGCAAAAATTCACAATATGAAATTCAAATTAAGTTTTTTGTTCCCTCATCTTTTCATGCTATATCCACTAAAATTCCGTAACGACAGTTCTGTACTAGTATAAAACACCCAGTTAGAATAAAGGATTCAAAATTAACGTCTATATTAATATCAATATTGAATCTTGTAATCATATCAGAATAATAGACTGTTAACTCTAACGAAGTTAAAATGAGCAGTTGTCACTGAGGCTTCAGAATTTGGATTCCTAAAACGAGTAGATTGTTGACGATAGCACGAATTTAAGCTGAAGCTCTAAAGTCGCGGTGGTATCTAGAATACAGAAGTTTTACTCCTGACTATGAGACAGCTTCATTGACATCTTCCCGAATGTTTCCCCATAACGTTCATCTATATAAAACATGATTAGTCAAAGTTTTTTTGTTACTGCTAAAACTGAATCTCCTTGTGATTATTGCGTGACGGTAGTTACCTCGTTATGTTTATCAGCGTTGTTCTATTCGTGAATGAAATCCGAAATTGAGTTTTTTTTTCGGATCAGTAACTCTGTTCCTTAAACCCCTATTGACAAAACAAATTTCCAAAGACAAACACACAGGTTATAACAGAAGAAATGCTATGAAAATCTTTTCTAGGTGTTTTATCGGACAATATTATTACTTATTTATTCTACCTTCTTATCTTGCTTATTAACTTTGTTTCAGGTGAACCATATCGCATTTTATATTTCCCAAACTTCAATGTCCATAACTTTATGATTTGACATGAGTTAAGACTTATGATTTGGTTTTACCTTTGCATGTTACCAGGCTATTGATAAAAATGTTGCGTTTGACTAAGTTCAAGGTTACGGCGTTGTTCAGTTGAAGACTGCTGACATTTAACTGCCTGCTGGAAACGGTTACTCAAATCCTCGTAGAAGGATATTTGGTCTCATCAGGTTTTGAGTAATGTTATTGATTTTCCGGTATTAAACACCGACTGAATTGAACAAAACGGTTGTGCTTTGAGTGCGAGTGATAAAAAGTGCTTTGCATGCTATGCAGGATAAATTTGTTTTGTTTAATCGAATAAACTTTTGTTTTTTAACTCTGTGTTCAGATTAAATACTGTAAATTTGGTAATTAATCGGGTTATCGGACAAATTTATTTTCACCTAACTTTAGAAGCATACTAGATCTGAATAGAGAGCTAAAACATTTTTTAAAAGTACGTACAAAAAATCTACTATTTCTTGTATATGTTTAAATAAATTTTCCCATAAACTGTCAAATGGATAAAATTGTAAAAAGAAGCCTAAACTGCGAGATTGTGGATGTGCACTGCAGAGGAGTCCCACAATAGAACGAAACGGCCGTTCCGTGCTTCTAGTTTTCTCATGGTGGTCTAGCTTCAATCGACTCATGAATTCAACTATAAAGATATAATTGTAATCTCGCAGTTTAGGCTTCTTTTTACAATTTTATCCATTCGACAGTTTATGGGAAAATTTATTTAAACATATACAAGGAATAGTAGTTACTTGTAATGAATTATACCTTACTACTATAGCAAATAGATTGGAAGTCATGAGAAAATAAAAAAAAAGAACTGGCCACTATCCAACATTTTATTTGAATTTCATGGAATTCTATATAACATGGGAGAAAAGATTTATAGTTAAGATGAATAATTTTAATAGAGTTTTGGACGACCTTTGAACGAATCTTAAGTGACCTTGAGAAGAGAGTTATTATATAGGAGAAATATGTCACACAAAACCAAACAATTAAAATGGATACACTTCTTTTATATGGTCCAAAAACTTGTCAAGGTTAGAAAAAGGTTCCAAAATCGTAATGCATAAGGTAGAGGAACTCATTCATATGGCTCTATCATAGTTGGTGTCTGGATCCATGAAAAGGTCACAAAAACCCTCTCAGCCTCGACTGCATAGCTTCATTATTGTTTGTGTGTACTCCGGTCGTGTAAGTTTATCATTTTTATTATAGATATGTCTCTACAATACTCATACCACTGAATAACTGAAGCTTCAGTAACATCTGCGATTATTGTAGCCAATATTACTCGTACTTTTAATATACAATTCGCGGCAACTATTATAAAATGCCTTAATCTCAATCTGGATCGAGCGATAAAGTTTCCTATTCTAGTAAACGTCTTCCTTCAAAATATATTACATCGAAGGACAACATCACAATAGTCTGAACAAAGTCTACGAGTCATTTAATACCCTCAATTACAAATACAAGAACTTCTTAGTAGTCTCCTTTGTTGTAGCCGCTTAATTGTCAAGTCTTCTCTGTAGACCGATCGTATATGAGCATCAGGTACTGAAATTGGCGCCATGACCTTGAAATCTCTCAAACGCTTCTGATTGACTCATCCATAAATTAGAGTCTCGCAGAGTTTTGTTCTCTCATAACCAAATCATTCAGCTTAGAGAATAAAACTTCATCAAAATTCTAAATAAAATTTATATCTAAATTAAATTTGAGTTAATTATATAAGAGAGATACAATAAGTTTAAAAGATCTATTATTATTATTATTATTTACACAAATAACCAATCAAATAAGAATATTCCAATAAAGTACATTTAAGTGATCTGATAATCAATACACTTTTAATTCAATCGTTTTATTTTATTAATTTTTATTAAACGTGTATTGTTATGTAATCAATCATCTTTATATTTTATTCATTATTTCCCCCATAAATTTTTGATATTTCTTATATATAATTGATTATTCTCTTTAATAATAGTTTCATTATTATTATGAATAAGAAGTGAAAATGGATTAGAACGCCAAAAATTATTTTGTTTAAGAAAATTAATTGTTTTTATAATTTTTTCATATGATGGTATAATTTCATTGTTACTATGTATTATTGCATTCATAACAACAGTTTCTGAATGAATCCAATCAATTATTTCATCAAAATCATCAAAATTTTCTTTCCATATTGTTTTACATATTGAATTCCAATAAAATTTTTCTATTAATATATCTATACTACTCATTAGATCTTTTTTTTTTAAAAATATTTTGTTTTAATTATTTTATTTCATAAGATTAATATATTAAATATTTTAATCGATATTTATTGATTTCAAATAAATCAATAAATGTATCTTTTAAAATTATGATATTAATATTGAATTATTAATTAATAAATAATCAATACAATTGAAACTAAGCTATATTTTTTTATTTTTCCTTAAAAAAAAATCACTTTCAGAGTTTAACTGCCAAATGTATTCGGTTGTTATACTTGAATGAAATAAATACTAAACGTTTTATTATAAATTTAATGAAAACTTTAAAGATAATAAGTTTTTTTTTGTAATGTAATACTATAAATTTTGAAGTATTTGTAAAACTAGGATCATTGAGAAGATAAATCATGAAGCTGAAGCTGCTAATGTAATGAACGAGAATACAAGTAGGGACAAGCGAATGTATTTGAATACAAAATTACAGAATATTTTAGTAAAATCTGAGAACCATACGGTTAAATTCTTCATTGGAAAACTGTCAATCAATTATCTTAGACTTTATTGTTCCTTCATTTCTACAGCAATCATACTGTGTTCTCATTCCGTTTTCTTCGATATTCCTAACCTTCTGAAGACAGACATTTCACTTTCGATTGATAATACATACTACTTATATCTGTCGACATCAGTAGCGGTGTTGGTTGTAGCGAGTGCTGTCGGCGGTGAGGAGCGGTGGGATATAAGGCTTCTGAGTGAAAATCAGATGTAAATGGCTCAGTAGGTCGCTAGAGCACAGGCGTTGAATGTCACGGGTGCTGGATGTACGTCGAATTTTGATGGTCCAGCTGGTCGACGGAGCTATGAAGGTTAACGCGCTGCAGTCACGATATTTTGACAGAGGGTGTGGCATAAATTGCAGAAAAGAAGAAAGTGGCACGGTTAGCAGAACCACCTCAAGAATGACTGCTTTAAATGGGGGACAAGTGTGCTACTGATGTCGATAGATATAAATAGTATGTATTATCAATCGGAAGTGAAATGTCTGGCTGTAGAAGGTTAAGAAGATCGAAGAAAAAAAAAAGAAGGAGAACACAGAATGATTGCTGTGGAAATGAAGGAACAATGAAGTCTGAGACGATTGATTGACATTTTGCAAATGAAGCATTTATTATATAATCCTCAGATTTCAGTAAGATATTCTGTGATTTTGAGTTTAAATACATTTGTTTGTCCCTACTTGCGTTCTCGTTCACTACACTAACACTTAAAGGTATATAGATACATTATTTATTATCATTAGAACGTAAATAAAAATGCGTAGGTTTTTAAACGTATGAAAATGATTTTTTTTAGATATTATCTGGATTTATGTGTTAGGACAGATAACTTCGTGGGTGTCATTGGCATGGGAAAGGTATTTATCAGACATTTAAAATGTGTACTTACCTTGAAGAACATGATTTTTATGCCCTTGAGAATAACTTAAGTTAATTAAAACGGATTTTTCTTAAATAAACATTCGTACTCTATAACTGATAAAAATACGGAGAAAGTATTTTTTTGATGTCTTAATCTTTCTACAAACATAGGATTACTTAAAGGATTAAGGATTGAGAAAGTCACATCTGTTTATAAGCTAATTTATCATCAATCTAAATATTACTAAATAATGATACTCATGAATAAAATAAACTGACTGTTTGCGACATAACGACCTAAACTAATGAAATTGTGAACTTAGAACATTGAAAATGTACATATGCATTAAATAATTCTAAGTGAATGTAATTGTTCCAGGAAGTATATTGGTTGAGTGGCTTCAAGTATATATATTAGGATGCATAAATCATGATATTTAGCAAAATTCCATATGATCACTAATAACATTCACTGATGAGTTGCATAATAGGACGGGTTAGTTTTCCACTATTCTCTCCAGCTGACAACTATCATTAAACTATACAAATTTAATGTGTAAATCCTACTTTTTTCTATCATGACTTAGATTACAAGGTAAACAATTATAGATATGAGCCTCAAAATACTGAACTGGTCAAGTGTCATTACTAATTAGTGCGATGGAACCTTATTGTGCTCAATATTAACACTGAATAAGTTGTTTATTTCATCAGTACCTTAACTGTTGTAAGATTTCGAGACGATGAAAAATGGACGCAAAGAAAACATTAGTTTGGTTGTTAAGATCAGGTTATCTGATATGATTCAGGTATTACACAGTTACAGTTAATGTGTATGATAAGTTAAAAGAACGTGTATATCAAGAGATGTAAGTCAGGTATTATTTTAAAATTTCGGAGACTAATCAGCTGTCCTACAGAGATAATATATTTAACTTTCATCACCTTGGATGTATTCTGTGTGACTTTCTTTGTTAATTGAAAAAAGTATCAACAAAACGCCAACCATGAATACAATTTTGTGATAATTACTGGTTTCCAGATTATAGTAACATGAATTATACACATTACGGATGTTGTTTTTACAAACTATGAATACTGGATAGTTAGTATATCGGACTTATTAACTAAATAAAAGGATTAATTTAATTACTGTTAATACAAATAATTGTTGAGTTTATGGTACTGAACTGAAGTAAATTGTAATAGAATCGAGATGAAATCTATCGGCTAAGGAAATAGAGGTCAATACCTATATGTGATTGGGATTTGAGTTTTACCATGATCGATTAAATATGATTAGTGACTGACCCCATTAATAAACCTATGAAGGGAAAAAATTGAAAGATATGACTAGTTTACATAATACTTTTTGAATCATTGTCACCTCAAAGTTTCTCTGGAAATCTTATAATTTAACCGTTGCAACAAGATCTGGTGAACTACTTAACATAGTTAGTTTATCGTTATCAACATGATTAATAAATATGTAGTGTACGAGCCACAAATTCAAATTATCATTTCGAGTAATTTTCTTACAGATGACATCATTTACACTCCATAACATCAAATTCTAGTTTCTATTTTAATACTTAAAAACCGTTGAACGATTGAACAATTTTGTTATTTCGCATTATTTAAAAAATCCCATCTATTACCGCTGCTAAATCGGAATACGGTTCAATGAATAATTCAACAGTGTGTAAGTTATCTTTTGATGCTCATTATGAAAATAAGTGTACATATTTTAGATGGATGGATGGATAAAAAGGAATCAGTTGTAAATACACAAAACAAAAGAAACAGAACATAGAAAAAGGGAGGAAAACAAAAATCATTAACAATGAAGGTATGAAATACAAAGTTATTGACTACAAGTGGTTTTGAATATCCAAGAGTTTTCATGCCATGTGAAGTATTTAACTGGAAAAGCGAATTTATACAATGCTCGATAGTTCTCACTTAAACGTTGTCGTTCTTCAAGCTAGAGAGTAATGTATCCAAAATAATGAAGAAAAAAAAAGACTGACTGAGTGAATTTATTGACTATAAACTGTGATGATATAATAAATCAAACGACATTTATTTCATTGTTAGTAAGACAGCAGTTGTCTCGCTGTTGATAGTGAGGACTGGATTTTGATCAGTCCTTTGTTGTTAGTGCATGCATCCTGTGCAGATTTGCCTGACAACCATATAATCACAAGTTTAATAGAGTATATGGATTGTGGGTGAAAGTGGCACGTCAATATCGGGATGCACGCACATCCTGGATACCAACGCTAGCCACAGCCCATCTACTTAAATTATAATTAGTGCATAAGACTATAGACAAATGAAATGCTAGAAAGATTGATGACTACTATGTCAGGTGTATTAGAAATGATTTAGATTGTTAGAGGATAAGATACGTCACCTATGGTGAAGGCGAGATATCCGTCTATCAATTAAGGGACGAGTATACTGCGCTGCAGTTCACTGTGTTCTACTTCACGGCAGCGAAACGTGGCAATTTAAGAGTAGAAGATACTCGTGAGTTACTAGTATTTGGTCACAGATGCCTTAGAAATATTGCTCGCATCTGCGGGTAAGTAATCACCGGGTAAGTAATAGTGAGGTTAGACGCAGGGTATTAGGGAATGATGGTAAATCAGTTGATGAGGTTGCGAATCTTCATCGACTGAGATGGTTGGGCCACTTGTTACGCATGCCTGAACATCGATTACCACGACGCGCAATGTTGACTAGTGTTGGGGATGGTTGGAAAAGAGTTAGGGGCAGCCAAACCAAAACATGGCATCGGTGCTTGAAGTCACTAACTTCTAGCCTGAGCCATGTTGGTAGATGCAGACTACCTGGTTGGGGTCCGCGTGACCATCGTAACCAATGGTTGGAGACTCTGAGTGCCATGGCTCAGAATCGATTACAAAGGCGCAGGTGTATACACTCTTTGTCTTCCCTTACACCGGGAGATTAGATTTGCTTTATACCTTTTTTTTCTACCAATTAATTATTTCTCCCTGTATCATATCTCTAAATAAAAGCATTTTTTTACCACCATTGAAGTAACTCCTTCTATGGATTTGGTGTTCATCTTGTTGTGTTAATGAGGTATGACAACTTGAACCGATGCATATATGTGCCTGGTTCTACGTTGTAGATGACTCACTGAGTGAATATAGCAAAAGATTGTGGGAGAGAATAATTTTAATCCATCGGTTATATCATTTCTTATTTTGTTAAACTCTCTAGTCTTGAACTTCTATTGTTTCTACTAGTACGAAACTTAAGTCTAAGTGTTTCCTTGCTCACTACTATCAAAAACGTAATCCAGTAAAAATAACTATTTACTCAGTATTTGTTTGATAAAATAGGATTTTTTATTATACATGAAAATAATCAATCTTTTAATTAGTTAAAAATAAATGTGAACATCATAACATAAAGTGAATAAATGAATTGAAAAATACAAAGATGGTAATTCATTCATAGTAACAGAAATAATAAAATAGAATTATACCAAATAATGCAAAATACATTTTGTAAGGATGGCTCGTTGGCAAACTCTAGGAAGCCTCAAGAAGCCCAGAAAGAGCCGAACACATCTCATCCAATCACTGTTAGGGGAACATTCTAGAATGTCGACGTGTAGCTTCCCTATTGGATGGATAAGAATGACCCCCTATGTGCCTATTGGCTGTCCGAAATGATGATTTACTTTCAGCCAGAAAACTATAAATACATGAGATTTTTGTACTATATTTGACACTGTTTGGGGAATAAAATTCCTACTTACTAGTCTTCTGTCTTCTCTCTTGCGATGTTGCGGGTTCGGTCGTTCAAGTAGCTTAGTAGTACGCGGCATAGTAAGAATCAAAGCTCTAGATATAACACATTTTTTTTACTACAGATTCAATCATACAATTTTAATAGTCTTTACAGATAATTTGTTTGATAGAAATATAATGAATTCAGTTATTTAGGATAATTCTAACATAATATTAATGGTATAGAATAACTTTTAAAAATTAAAGATAGAAGAGTTTCTGCCAAGTTAATAACTGTTTGAAGTTTTATATCATAAACTGAGTTTAGTTAAACAACTTTTGAGAACTAGGAAGATCTAAACAATTGTCTCGTCTCTATATGGGACAATTTGGAAGTGTAAACCTATGAGCTCGAGAAGAATACAACTAATGATCTTCAGGTCTCATAATAAGTGCTTCACTTTTAGATCACAGAGTTGGTATCCAACAGTTTACAATATTAACTTTAGACGCTTTGCAAAATTGTGTAATCGTCATTCACTGACACTGATACAAGTTGTCTCAGGCTGACATTATCACAGAAATTAAATGATTGAATAAATCAGATGATGAAAACAACATTTATGCATATTAATTGGTTTAAAGTATAAAAACAAACAAAGAGACTAGACAATTTTCTTCTGAAGAATAAAATGAATTGAATACAGAACTAAAGGTTAAACAATAACTAAACATACTTCTTGTTTTTTTTCCGTAGCCAAATTAAAATTTTTTAATTTTAGAGCTTTAGTAACATTTTGCCATAAACGACGAGATTCTTCTGGTTGTTGATGTTCAATAGGACGTATATGTTTTGAAAAAACAGGTAATTGATTGACAGTCACTGACCATTTATGTAAATTCTAAAACAAAACAAAAACAAGGATACACCATTCAATAGTATGAATTTAAAGAATTAAACAGTCTTTTTTACTGTTTAAAAGAAAACAGATAAGATTAAAATGTTAAGACAAAAAAAACAACAACACGAGAATGAACTTGACAAATGACCTAATTTACAAGCAATTTCCAAACAGAATTACTTAATTTTATGTAGTTGAAATCATGAGTCAATTGAGGCTAGACCACCATTGAAAAACTGAAAGTACTCAACGGCCGTCTCGTCCTATTGTGGGACTCCTCAGCAGTGCGCATCCACGATCCCACCTCGCGAGCGTTCAACCACTAGACCACTGAGCCGATATCCAACAGTGTTAATGTCTAACTTCAACCAATCCACGAAATTGAGCAACCATTCACCATTGTCATCAGTGAGTTGATATCTCCCAACAGACCTAGTTGAACTCCACTGATCACTGCTTCTCACTAGAACTCCAGGAAATACCTCATGAAGCCAATCACTAGTGAGCATATGATCACATAAATCATCTTTTTTTGTGATTAAAACGTTAATCTACAGTTGTTCTGGTTGAATGAAGACATTTGTTCTGAATAAATGATGTGGAATATTTCATATTTTGTGTATACAAATTGTGAGAACAGTTATACTGTTTAATTCAATAATTTGTCGGTATATTGCGTAGCAGAATGTATTTCACTCTCATGATTCGTAAACTTATTGTAGTAGTATTACTTGCTTTGTTTAAAACTGCATTCGATCGGAGTTGGAAAATCCTGATTCTAAACCAATGGTGCACATGGGCTCCAGTATCCTGAAGGAACAAATAGAGTATGAACCAATCATTGGTCACCGGCTATCATGGGACTGCATCTCCTTACGTTGCTGCAATGCCTTGTGGATTGGACCTTTATGTCAAAGGCCCCTAAGAAGACCACCTGTTTTGGTTCGGGCACTTGGGCAGTATTCCAGCTCTCACACAAATCGGATGATTTATGTGGCGCATATCTATTTGGTGCTTCCTTCTACCAATGTTTATGTGTTTAAATAAATAAACTAAAACAATGTATTATATTTTATAGATATATACGGTCTTCGTACTTCTCCACATTAACAGATTGAGTGAAACTGGATAATCACACGATGACATAGTTATGTACGGTAAGTTATATGTATATATGGAGGAACCACAGTTAGTGAACTATTTACCCAGTCAAGATCATTGCCAACATGTCCTTATGAGGGTCGATTTGACCAGTTATAAAAAACCACGTCATTCGGTTTCGCAAACTAGAATTTGTTACATATTCATTGTTTGCTTTCTTTGTAGGGTTAGGTTAGCTGAGCGTAGAAAGTAAGCAGTATAATGATAATAAACAAACAAGTAAAAAAAAGCGTTAGATACCACTAACTTTAATTTTACCTTATTCAAAACTTCAAAATTGATAATTTTATTCCATTCACCAGAAATACGTGCAATTAAGTGATTACTATTTCCAACTGGACTTAGTGGTGATGATCCAGGCCCTTTGGATGAACGATCAGATGAAGTTGGAGAAATACTGTGTGTACTGTAAATTTCTCCAGTAATACAATGTAGTTTATCTTCATAATGTGGCTATTGTTTATCAAAATAATAATACATAAAAATGAATCAATGCTAACTAAGAACTAAGGTGTCATTAAGAGGCTTAATTTTAATTAGACAACGATATACTCTTATCACCACACTATATCCTACAGAATAGATAATAGTGTAGTATTTTGATCATACTTTGAATATGTGAATATAGTACAAGATCATTCATAGTAGCAGAGAAAATCCATTTACTTTTCATTTTTCTGCTAAGTTTTCAGCTTCAATATTATTTTCAAATAACAATAAAAAACCTATTGTGTCATTGAAGAAGAATAAAGACAGTTTGTTGACGAAACGTTTATCTTTTTTAAAGGTTTCATTAGCTTAACCTGTACAACTGTATTCACTTGCCAAAAATAGCAATCTGTAATAAAATGGTGTTAAATAATTTTTTTAGAAGAAAAACTGAAATAACATCGTGTCATAGAATTATCTACAGTAGTCAGTCAGATCTTGAAAGGAAACTATGTATTAACCTAAATGAATAATAAATACCAAGGTTAAGATAATTATCCACCTAATAAAAGATATTGAGAACAGATTAATAAAAAATTCTAATAATGGTTTGAATTGATTCTAATTATAGCTATTCACCGATTCAACCCTGTGTGTTTAATTCATCATATCATCTTCTTTTCCATCTTTTTATTATATATTGCATTTTTCCTAATCCTTTCCAATTATTCTGAACAACTATTAATTGTTATCAGAATGAAGGTTTGTCAAGATTATAGCAATTTTAATAGTTGAATTCATGGGTCGACTTAAGCTGATGAGGAGTCCCATATTAGGACGAAACGGTCATCCAGTGCTTCAAAGTTTTCGGTGGTGGTCTAGCTTAAATCGACTCATGAATTCAACTATTAAAGTTATTAATTATTATTCATGATTACGACTTTAGGCGATTCTGTTATCAATATTTATCAAGTGAACAGTTATCTTCATATTGACATTTTTTTATTAGCTGCTGGATTATTAGGTATCTCCCTTTCAATATCTGACTTTTCTAGACAATTTACGTGACACGATACCGCTCCAATTTTTACTTGGTTATTCAACACTATTCTATCTTACTATAGACAACTGTTTTTTAGCAAACAAATTGACCATCAATACAAATGTACAGTTTAAGTCAATGAAATCGTCGCAAAAAACATTATCTTCATTGTATTTTCTGTATTTTTCTACAGTATTACTCGGTATTTTTTATTTGTTAAATTCATTTCTTCTTTCTGAAAAGTACTTTTCAACATTTAGTCACCTTCACTTTCAATGATGCTACTGTTACTTTAACTTTACTTGGTAAGGCAAGTACCGTTGACCAATATTTCTATCTAGTTCTCTATTAGTTACAACTAATAGAGTGAAGTGGATTCACACTGTATGAGACAGTGTAAATAGAATTTGAACAAGACACTTGTCTTGCATAGATTAATAATGTGTAATAATTTTAAGTATAAACATTCTATTGAATGATGTGAATAAGTAACATACTGTAAATTTTCATGAGAACAGTCAAGATAATGTTGTATTTATTGAATACATGAAAACCTTATAGAATGGATACAAACTAAGCTCAATAAATGGGCACAGAATGAAGGCAAGTATTTAACAATTATGGATCACTAGGGCTACAATAAAATATTGTCTATAATCTAAGACAACAGGAAAGTAAAAACCAAAGACGAGAAACATCTTACAATGTAACCACTAAATGATTTAGAAGTCATCTCATAGATGCTACGCGGATATTCATTCGAGTAACAAAAAACCACTCCTAAACACTAGGAAACACAAAGAAGGTAGATTTGCTATTTTCTCAAAACTAAATACAGTTCGTTGATGAGCTCTAATAATTGAGAAAGATTTGGTGCTTAAAACGACCGCAGTTTTGCGTTCCTTGAAACCCTCTAATACAATTACTACGATTACTACTACAGCTTTCTCCATTAAAAAATTCGACATCATTCTGGTAGACTTTAAGTCTGAAGTTGTCAAAACGCAACGACATGTTGTACCGTTTAACTAATAATTCATATTCATGAATGTGTAAATAGGTGTAAATAGGGGAAATACTTTAACGACAGTAATAGTTGTCGTAGTTAGTGCAATTTAACGCATGAATGATGTTAGATTTATCTCATTTAATTGTTCAGTCCTTCCACATTAAGAACTGAACATGAGACCAAACTAAGAACATTCATATCTTGTGATGAACATGAAAACACTGAACTAATGGGTCGAAATTCAGTATACAAACAAATGGTGGTCTCCTTAAGCTTTTGGAGTACCACTGTTTCAAATATCAATTTATCACCATAAACTTTTCTATAAACCATGTAAAATTAGTCACTTTCATAAGATGCTTACAATCTATTGTAAGTCTGATTACTGAGAAACTCAAGCAGCATCTCCGCAACGGTTCGTATATTTCCTTGCTCTGTCTTTTGGAGAGACGAGAAGCAACTTCTACAGAATTCGTACATCAAATATATTTAGTAATGGAAAAAGATGTCATAAAATCAGCAAAACTGATCAAAAACACAGATGAATATGAACGACAACTAATCTTTGTTTAAAAACTTTCTAGATATACTTTTTAGATATTTACAGGTTGAATGCTCATCAGACAGAAAGTTTGTTTTAATTTCGCATATGTGCTGATAATGGTTTACTGTAACCAAACAAACAGTACTGATTAAAGCCGGTTTTATCATTATTATTATACTGTCCATAGTGAGACATAAGAACGTTGCAAAGTAAAAAAAATTTACGATTCACAAGTTGTAAACAAATTCTCATAGACAAAATAAATGTATCGATTGTTTACAAACAACAAGAAAAACACCAGCTGACTTGTATAGTCATCTTACCTTAGTTAAAAATGTGATCACAGCTGAATAGCCAGTTTGAGGGCATGTGACAAAGACTTTATCACCGAATTCAACCCAAGGTACTGTTAAAATTGACCTGGCGTATGCCGTAGGAAGGGAAAAGTGATACTCTTCGTCATTATGCTCACCAAGTTTCAATATTACTATAGAATATCAATTACATTAAGATAAACATTGGATGTAACGTCGTTGTATGCAGTGAACTAAAGCATAATATATGCACATATAAATACAAATAGATATGAAATACAAGGGTAGCTTATAGATACAGAAAAACAATCCATCTACTATGTATGATTAAGAAAAATATCATCATAGAGTTTGACGTATAATACCAGGCTTAGTAAGAAAGTGTTAGATAACAGTTAATGTTATATATTTTAAAACAATGCGAGAACATTTCCATAGGTAAAATAACTGTACAGCAAAATAAGATTGTAATGGGATTTTCAAACTAATTTGAGGTATGTAGATAGGTGCTAATTATCAATTTTGGAGTCTATAGCATTATCGTAAACTACTCGCAATCGGGTAGATGCACTCACTCTTCTGTCTTCCCATAAATCTTGAATTTTAAAATCACATTATGCATGCTATTCCGAGAATTTATTCTTCCTTCTCAAATCATATTTTCTAAGCTTCACTTTTTCTATTATCACTGATACTATAACTACATCCATTAATATGGAATTCGTCTTGATAATTTCATTTCACTAAGCTGATGAGGTGTGAAAACTTGAACCGATGAACATCAGTGGCAAGTCCTACATTGCGTATGACTGACTGTAGTATAGGAGTTTAAAATTATACATCAGTATGATAAATGAAAAACAATGTCGATTAATGATGCTTGAAATTACTATCTAACTTGTAGTGTTTGTTTTTTACAAAACATTATAAAAGCTTTGAACACACAGACATCTGATAAAATGAATGTACAAACGAATGGAAGTATGTGAGAATCAAATGGCACATGATGATAAACATTTTTTGATTCCAGCCTGTTCATCCACACAGTTTATTGATAACACTTTGTCCTAGAAAAAAATGTATTTATTACCAACATAGAATGCATGTCAAGAAAAAGGACTTTTAACTGATGAAATTTTCACTAAACATGAATTTTGCTAACTCACTGTTTAAACAGTACGACAGTGTCGTTAACTATCAAACATATAATTGGGACTCAAACACATGAATCTGTACTACATTACAGAGTTATTTTAATTATATCAAATTAGATAACTAGTACAAAATGATTTATATATTAGTAACTTAAAAAATATATTGGATCGCTTCATTTTAGAAGTGCTTAATACAGAACATAAGAAGCAGGAGTACTCTTATTGTTTATGCATCTATGATGATATTATTGAGAGATATTTATTAGGTGAGATAGATGTAAGCATTCCAGATTCATGGTCATTTCTATTTGATTGTGTTGTGACGGGCGGTGTCCAAAATCTGATACTGGTACACGGTGTGCTATGCGCTACATCCCCCAACTGAGTGAGCGAAAAAGTGTATTGGAACACCGAATAAAATGCACAAATACTCATTCATATGTATACCACTCCAATTCTTAGCTAATGAAATGCACCTATCCTTTCAGTCACTTCCGGTTGCCATAGATTGACCTTCTCATTAGGTTACTTCTAAGTGGCTCTCCATATCAGGTTGAAATTCAAGTTTTAATTGTTTATCCTTCAAAAATATACTTGATAAAAGTAAATAGTATTTAAAATGAATATTATTAATGTTAAAATATACACTTACATTTGCCTAACATTGCTGCACAAACACTCATGCCTTGGAATTTAGACTTAGTACACAATGAACCAGTCAATTGCATTTGTTTGATAGGACAAGAAAATTGAAAAACAGTAACAGATGGATGGTGAGAAACTTGTTCAGCACAATATCTTATAACTATGGGTACATTGGGGTTGTTATTTGTAGTGGGGGACATTTTATACGTATCATTATTTATTTCTGATAAACATGATTCACTGTTTATTTGATCTGGTGGTACAATCCAACTGCAATGAAACGTTTCACCAATAATAGGATTATATGGTTTTTTGACAATTGTATCCTTTAAAGAGAAAGAAATTAACAAACAAAATTTTTATTTTATATGTAAAGTTGAAATCATGAGTCAATTGAAGCTAGACCATCATGGAAAACCTGGAAGCACTGGACGGTCGTTTCGTCTTATTGTGGAACTCCTCAGCAGTGCGCATTTTCTTTGCTTCACGAATGATCAGTGAAGAATATGACACTTTAAAACTTATCTATGTCGAATTCATTGTATTTCTGAATAGATAGAGTGAGTAGCATGAAAGTATGATTTTTCGGGATGATGATACCATGGATTATTATTTATATTTTTATTTTATGAATAACAGAGTCTTGGACTGGTGTATTCACTTATATTTAAGCTTTCGTTTGATTCATTAACAGTTATGATATCTTATTGTTTCAGACATATTGTTAATTAATTACTTCCCTATTACTTCGGTTTTGTATCACTTATGACTAAGTTACATAGATATTATACTTATTTAATTGTGTTGCCGTGCGACCAGTTATTTTAGGCATATCATTGCATGAGTTTGAATAGAGCACAACAGATAATCATTTTGTTTCCAACTTTTGTCTTCTGATTATACACTAGATGAGGAGCTTGAGAATAATTAAGTGTTAAGGTCTTGGCTGTTGCTTATTGATTGCTATCATTCGAGTAAATAGATCACCGGTTCTCCTGGTAACATGTGTGAACCTATTGGTAATTGGACTAGAGAGGAGCCAGTTGGTACTGTAATAACACTTTCCCCAATACAACCCAAGTATCTGTTTTTCCTTTTACCCAGTTGCATCAACTTTTTGCTTACTCTACGGTTATATACAAGAAGTAATGAAATACGGTGAATTTACTGTATTCTGTGAATACAGCAGTTATTACTTTGTTTAAGGATAATAAACATGATGTCCTAGTTACTGACAGTTGTCTACTTTTTGTGTTGATGAAAATATCCAAGCATGTAACCGTCTCGATAACCAATCAATTCATTTTTAAGATGGTTGGTAGTGAAGTGAAATCCAGAAAATAGTTGGCGTACATAATTCTACATAAAACATATCGTTTTGATAGAACTGTGTGGAAAAGTCGTCCTGAAGACCTTGACAGCTGATCAAATGATGAGGTGAACTGAATACTGCATTGACTATTAGGACTCCATCATCACTGGTGAAATATCATGATCCATTTGAATACGACACAGAGACTGGCTTTTAAAAACTGTCAATGATATTTCGAATAAAGAAGACAGGGATAGGTTTCGTATGCTGCCACATATGGGGAATATATTTAGGGTAACAGTACTGATTAACCTTAGATTTTGAAAAAAGTAGTTTTTAAGACCATAGTTCGCATATTTACTGGACATGCTAAGTATGAATGTAGTGTCAGATAAGTTTAACTTGGAAGAAACCAACAAATCATAACGCTGTAAATACACAAATCAACATTAAAATCGATAATGTTGTCGAGACAAAAAACTAAGATACGACAAGATTTGTATATATATGGAGCTCTGTTTTCAACGAAGTCTTAAGAGAAGGGCAAAGCTACAAGGCTATAAATAATGGTCACTTAGATGGACCGTTAGTTAGTTTTGTAAAATTTTAATTTATTTTTTAAGGACAAATGGATCATAAGAAATGAAACAGTTGAAAATAAATGTTTTTTTGTTATATCCCAATGAGTAGAAAATTGTACTTCCGGCGTTCCGTGACTCAATGTAGGCCACCTCTTCAGAGTAAATAAATAACCGAAATAAAATTAACACGTTTAAATAGTAAAAAGGAAACAATGAAGAGTATTTTTTAATACAATCGAAATCATAATAGGCCTGAATATATCTAGATCACTATTTTTGGTTAAAGTGAATTTGTATGACATGTCAATGTGTTAATTTGCATGTCAGCAGGTGGGTATGCGTCATGTTGAGGTTGCACTTATTTATGTGACCAACGATTAAGGACTAGATATAGACTACAAGAAAACTATATCGTGACAAAATGCAAAGGGGAGAACGAAATATATATTAAAATGTAAATAGATTTTCTCGTCAACATTCATTGAGCAATCACAACTTATGCTAATTGGACAAGTCGACCCACAATGCTAATAATTTAGCATAAAACCTATACATATATCCCAACTTCGGTGTTTTTGATTTCAGGATAGAGGCTACACATAGATGATTTGTAAAAATGATACTGAATGTTATTTAAATAAAATTATGCTTATTATAAAAATCGTAGGCATTTTATAATCCTGAAGGCCATAGCAAGGAATAACGTGTTACAGTTTCAAACGTCACCTCATTGATACCAGTTTCGAAAGTTAAACAGCATTAAATTAACATTATACAGAGATTGTAATAACTGTAAGATGAACGGATGAACGTGCAACTGTTCGATCACTGAGTTATATTAACTTCAAACTATTAATTATTAATAGAGATAAGAATCTTAAAGTTACATGCTTTTGTTATTATTAACAGAATACCATAGGACTACTTATAACTTGTAGAAACTATATTAAACTGAACACTAAGTTCATTTAAAATTAAAATTGTAGAATGAAGTAATATTTTATGCACCTGAGTAGAATATGAGAGAATAATTTTACTTTTGCAGAAATAAAATATACACAGATGGAGAATGCAAGGCGGTCAGCAAAACAGTTTGGGTCTACATTTTTTTGTTAATTAGAAGTCGTCAGTAATATGCACCTGCAATCCTGAATCCCAACTATCACGAAACCTAGGTACACGGTATGCTGCCGATTACCTAAAATTACTTAACACCTCAACATAACCTATGCGATGTAGAGTTATTTAGATTAATGGTCACATTATTTGATTAGCAGAATTCGATCCGCACTACAGGAGTAGACAAACAAGAAACTGATCAATAATCACTGATCATTCAATAAAACGAATGAATAAAAAATGCAATTAAGGAGCAGTATATGTACTCACTGAGTGGGGTATCTGTAATGTATGTGAGAGACAGAGAATGGCAGAGGGGATGAAATGGCTGTCATCAAAAAATGTAGATTGAAAAGCTAACAAGTTATTCAAAGTTATGAACAAGTTAGTTACCCAATACAGAAGAAAGTATAAACTGTAAACCAATAGATCAAAAGCAATAAAAATATATACCATCAAAATCCTATACATAAAGTGTAGTCTTGATTCTTCCATTGAGATTGCCTCAAAATGCCCTGGTACGGCCGAAGGTGGGGAGGGCCCACCCGCTCTCTCGAAATGCTCTCACATGACCACGACTATACAGGCTCTGCCAGGGAAGTCACACTCAATGTCTTATCTCAGAGGGGGTGTTGTTTACAAAATTGAGAGGACGGAAAGAGAATATCCGGCGCTTTAACCGAGGCGGTGGACACAATCAGTCCACCTAGGATAGTTGGGAAACCTTGATTCCAAACCAACGGTGCACATGGGCTTCAGTATCCTGAGGGAACAAATGACATATGAACCAATTGTTGGTCACCGTCTACCATGGGACTGCATCTTCTCACGATGCTCCACTACCTTGTGGATCAGACCTTTAGGTCAAAGGCTCCGGGTTTGGCCCCTTAAGTAAACCGCCTGCTTCGGTCTCAGCACCTGGGCAATATCACAGAGCTCACATAATTGTGTGGCGCATATATATTTGTCGCCTCCTTGTATCAATGCTTATTTGTTTAAATAAATAATAAATAAGTGATATTATGCAGTAGAAAACTAAGTGTAGGACTTCCCTGGCAGAGACTGTATACGCGTGGTGATGTGACAGCATTTCGAGAGAGCGGGCGAGCCCTCCCCTCTCTCGGTCGTACCAGGGCATTCGGGGGCAACGAAATGAAATAATCTCTAATATTCATATGTTTGGTGTTCAATTGAGAAAAATAAGTTAGACATTAAAGTAGTTCAAGCAATATTGTCAAGGTAACAGAACAACGACTAGAATGAACAGTCGTTTTATACAATGGGCACATAAATAAGTAATGAGGTTTTACTTTCTCAATGTGTTTATAACCTAAACAACAACGATTGTCTCAAAAGATACATATAAATTCCAAAAATATTACCTTCAGTAAACCTCATTAAATAATTCTTTTAAACAACTTACACAGACAAAAAGAAGTATTCTAACTAATGTTAGCACGTATATTTTACTGTTAAGTGGTTTATTTTTATTCCGAATAGTTCAAAATATCGTGTTCTAGTTAAAAAAAATTTCATTACAAAAACACATAAGCGATACATCCGTCTGACGAGTCTCAAATAGGACGGAACGCCCATTCTAGACTCCACTGCTAGCCGCCATCCATTTCTGTGTATAAACAGACACAATTTAACGATTAGCGAATGAAAAGGACTAACAGCTGCTACAGACATTCGATGACTTGGTTTCGTAACTAGATGGGTAGAAGACAGGAAAACGAATATAAGCTTTTATATTTAATTAGTTAGCTGACAAGACCTTTAAATGATTAAAAGAGGAGTGAAGTTTATAGACATTGTCCTATTGTAGAAAAAATAATTGATACGGGTTCATAATTGAGACTGAGAATGGACCTGATTATTCAGAAGTTGAAAAAATGCCAAGTGATCGCTTGAAGTAACTTTAGTTTAATAGGTTTGTGAAGATTCCTGCCGAATATCATAGTTTATATGAGGAAGTGACATTAGTTCGAAAATTGTTCAAAGCTAAGATGTACTGAAAAGCTGACTCATTTTATTATGAGACCACTCCACAGTAGCGTCCATTCATGACTCTACGAGGAAGTAAAGAACCTTCAGGTCTCGTAGGGAGCTTCTTAACTTATAGATCATTGAGCAAACATTCAATGAATGAAATTATGAACTCTATTGACGATATCCCTGGTCATACTAAAAGCAAGACAATTAACATTATTATTATTATTACCCTTATTAGTATTATTACTTACCATATCGCTAATTCACCCCCTTTTATCCCCAATTTGTGTAACCTTACTCTTCAACTTATGCAGCAGCT